ACCGATCAGAGAGTGGCAACATGCCCGCTAACACTTCGAGACTCATCGTATGAGTCGAGTGCATGCATCCTAACGCGATACGAAGACAGCGATACTGGATCCGTTCCAGTTTGATGATGTGCGTTTTAGCCGCCGACTGGAAGCAAAAACTACCGTACTCTAAAACCGATAAAATCGTTGTCCGGTACAACGTTAGAAGATCTTGCGGATGGGCTCCCCACCACGTTCCGGTAATTGTTCGGAGAAAATTGATCCTTTGTTGGCATTTCCGCTTCAGATACTCAATGTGGGATCTCCAGGTGCATTTTGAATCGAACCAGACCCCAAGATATTTGAAGGACATAGAATGAGTGATCGGTTTACCCAAAAGTTGAAGCTTTGGTTGTGCTGGGCTATGCTTCCTAGAAAAAACGACCAACTCAGTTTTCTCCGTGGAGAATTCGATACCTAGCTGGATAGCCCAAGTAGACAAATTGTCTAAGGTATCCTGTAAGGGTCCTTGCAGGTCGGCCTCTCTGGGCCCTGTCATAGACACTACTCCGTCATCTGCAAGTTGTCTCAACGTGCAGTTGTCACTTAGACAATTGTCAATTTCTCTGACGTAGAAATTATACAGAAGGGGGCTTAAACATGAGCCCTGGGGGAGACCCATGTAGCTAAATCGTGAAGCTGTAGAGTTTCCATGAGAAAAGCTCATATGTTTCTCTGACAGCAAATTGTACAAAAAGTTATTAATTAATGGAGAAAGGCCACAAGCGTGGAGTTTGTCTGAAAGGACTTCAACCGATACTGAATCAAAAGCCCCCTTAATATCCAAGAAGACAGAAGCCATTTGCTCTTTATTAGCAAAAGCCAACTGAATTTCAGTGGAAAGCAACGCGAGACAGTCGTTCGTTCCCTTGCCCCTACGGAAACCAAATTGAGTATCTGAGAGTAGGTGGTTCAACTCAACCCATTTGTCCAGGCGAAAAAGGATCATTTTTTCCAACAATTTTCGAATACACGATAACATCGCAATGGGACGATACGAATTGTGATCTGACGCGGGTTTTCCAGGCTTTTTAATGGCTATAACTCTCACCTGCCTCCAATCATCCGGAACAATATTAAGCTCCAGGAACTGACCAAACAAGTTCAACATGCGCCTCTTAGCGACGTCTGGGAGGTTCTTCAACAAGTTGAACTTGATTCTATCAGCCCCCGGAGCCGAATTGCCACACGAAAGGAGCGCGAGTGAGAGCTCCAGCATTCAAAAAGGCTGGCTGATCTCGTCTACCGAATTCGTCGTTTCGCGAGGAATCATCTGTGCCGGCACAGAATCAGGACATACTTTTCGCGCGAACTTGAGAATCCAACTATCGGAGTACTCCTCGCTCTCGTTGTTTGAAGACCGGTTACGCATCCTTCGCGCCGCATTCCAAAGCGTATTCATCGACGTTTCGCGCGATAATCCGTCCACGAATTGCCGCCAGTATCCGCGTTTCTAGGCTTTGATGAGGCTCTTGAGTTCGCGTTCAAGAGCCGAGTACGCTTCGAAATGTACGGGTGTTCCACGTTTCCGGAAAAGCTTAAACGCGTCGGATTTTTTACGATAAACCTCAGTGCATTGGTGGTCCCACCAAGGGGAAGGAGGTTTCCTACGGAAAGACGTTCCTGGAACCGGCCGAGTTTGAGCTTGAAGCGCGCTGTCCAAGATCAGATTGGAGAGGAAGTTATATTCCTCCAACGGTGGAAGCCCTTCTACCGACGTTAGGGCATCACATTCTTGAACTTTGTCCAATCGATATTACGGGTAAGATCGTACGCGACGTTAACGGGTTCCGACGGATTGAACCCACTGGCAACTGAAACTTTGATCGGCAAGTGATCACTACCGTGGGGATCTTGGATCACATTCCACGTGCAATCCAACGATAATGAGTTAGAGCAAAGTGTGAGGTCTAATCTACTTCCATTCGAGGATGGGCCAGCCAAACGTGTTACTTCTCCATTGTTAAGAATTGTCATATTAAAGCTGTCGCAGAGGTCATATATCAAAGTAGAACGGTTGTCATCATACAGTTCCCCCCAGCCTGTACCGTGGGAATTCAAATCTCCCATAATCAACCGTGGAGCAGGAAGTACCGAACAGATATCTGAAAGTTGTTTGCGATTAACAACGGCTCTAGGAGGAATATAAACAGAAGCAATACAAAGGCTCTTACCTTTAATAATAGCCTGACATGCAACGACTTCAATACCTGGAAATTGTGGAAGATTCACTCTATAGAAGGAATGGCACTTTTTGATCCCCAAAAGTACCCCTCCTCCACGCGAATCCTCACGATCCAGTCGAATAATGTTAAAATCATAAAAAGGAAGATCGATATCTGAAGTGAGCCAAGTTTCACAAACAGCAAATGCATCACAATCATTATTGTGAATTAAAAACTTAAAAGAATCTAATTTAGGAATGAGACTTCGACAATTCCACTGTAGAACAGTGATCAAATCCCCGACCTCGTTTGGAAAATTATCCATCGAAGGAAATGATTGCTGCAATGAGGGGCCACTTCAATGTCAATTGCTTCAAGAGGGTCTTCACAGAAGGAAGCATTGCCAGAACAATGCTTTTGAGAGGATCAGAAATATTGAGGTACTTGAGAATATCGTCCACAATTTTATCAAATGAGAACAACCCGGATGAAGAAGGGGCTTCTGTTCTTAAAAATGGGCCATCAGGGGTTTTTGATGTCCCCGGGAGAGATGGAAAGTTCTGGTTATAGTCAGTTCTGCGGAAACCAGGAGGAGTTGAAACTTCCTTTTTCCATCACTCCTTGATTTGGGCAAGCTGATTTGGGGTTCCTTATCTGCAACTTTCCGCGAACGGATGCGTTTTCGTTTCCGTGCAGAACCTTCCGGAAAACTGAAAGAAACTTCCTCCTCAGCCAAGTCAGAGTCAGACTCGTCATCAGACAAAACAGCAAAGGGATTTTTGTCGTTGGTTGATGGTGTGGCTGTCTTTAGCATTGCTGCAAAAGACTGCCTGGAACGCTCCTTAAGAGAGCGTTCTAGTTTCTCCCCGCGTTGTTTGTACGCCGGGCACGATGAGAGACCATGAGGAGTTCCCTTACAGTACACGCATTTTGGTGCAGTGACTGTGCAGGCGCCATCCTCGTGCTTTTCCCCGCATTTGGAACAGCGTGCCTTGCTGCCACAGTGAGAGGCCGTATGTCCCAACTGTTTGCAGTTTTGGCAGTTCATGACCCGAGGAACAAACAAACGCACAGGTAGCCGAAGTTTTCCCAACTCGATGTAGTGAGGAAGGGCTGAACCAGAAAAGGTCACCCGAAACGAGTCTGTGGGGGTAAAGCTCTTTTTACCCTCGCTGAAAGATACTGAGTTCAGCTTCTGGACTTCCAGTATCTCAACCGTGGGAAGCAAGGGGTTCTTGAAACGGCCAACCGCTTGCTTCGCCAAGATCTCGGGGGTCAGACTCGCTTCGGTGACCACACCTTCGATCTCCACATTACGAGCTGGGATGTACACTCTATACTCGAGTGTAAAGAGCTGGGACGCAACAATCTCGTTAGCTTGTTTCAGGTTAGAGACGACAACGCGAAGTTTATTGTACCTCACCTTCGAGATTTCAGTCACGGCCGAGAACCGCTTCGTCAGATCATGAGTAATTTGCATTACATTCAAAGGTTTCTTTTTGGGCTGAAAGTAAACAACCCATGGGCCAGTCGAGTCTTCTGGGTAGGCTCGCGATCGGGGGCTTATCTGTCCCTGTCCATTACCAGACTGAGATGACGAACCAGGGATGGCATCATCTGATTTCTGGGATGACAGACGTTTTCGACCCTTCTTGCTATCGCGTGGCAAAGTGGTGTCATCTTCCGACAAAACGTCCATTTCGTCTTCCGACAAAATGTCCATTTTGCCGTACTAGTGGGAGCGAAAAACGCTCTACCACTGCAACGATAATCAAAATTACTCGGACACACACGAGAACACGACACGAGAAAAAAAATACAAACACAGAAACACAAACTTAAAATTTAACTGATGGGAGAAAGAAAGAAACAAGAACAAAAACTTATCTGATAATCCTATACTACTACCACCGAGCGTTTAAACGGCAGCAGCGGAGCGACGCGCAGCGTGGATGATCTTCGATCAGCGTGTGCGGGCGGTCTTCGTTGGTGTGTGCTTATGTGAGGGTCGGCACTCAGCTGAACACACGATGATAGATGAGCGGTGTAAATGCGGAGGCAGATGCTGACACTCGATGACGATGATCCGTGTGCAGGTATGCGTTACCACGCACCGATGGTGCGCCAAATGGTTGGCGAATTGGCAATCGCAAAAACAATTTTCCTTCCGATGATGCCGAAAACACACTTTCTTCTCAGAAAAAAACTCACTTTTTGATAAATTTATCGGGAATTATGCCAGGAATCATTAAGCGAGAAAAAACTGATTAGTTACGTCAGATAATAGCGAGAAAACTTCCAAATTAACGGAGCGCGAAACAAGTCGACCGTTCTTCTTGCTAGGACGCAGTGACATTTCAGATGTTGAAGATGTTATTTTGTATCCAGCCTTTTATTTACTAAGAAAGCCTGTGGGACATGGATTCATAAAATTTCTCAATGCGAGTCATCGTCATTTGCCTTCCTTCGGTAGGGAAGTAAAGCCGTTGGTCCCCGGTTCATGAGTTGGTGGTGTCGATAGGTAGGGTCAAGGTGTGGGAGCTGCCTCCCTGGCGTCGGTAGCATTGGTACTCAGTACGGAAAACAAGTGCGACGGAAAGCAAATCAAGGAAAAAAAAAGTCATCATCATCATTTTCGGAAAATTGAAATCCATCAATCAATTTCTACCAACACTTTTGACGTAAATCGTCTTTCCACGACTCTTGCAAAAATTGACTTCTCATGTGCCATATTTATTGCCATTTTCATTGCTATTCAGAAAGCATTAACAACTAAATTATCGTCCATTTCTTCTTTCATTACAGCAAAACTAATAAGCACATTATAAAAATGCCCAGAAGTGACCGATCTGCATCCGAAGATATATAATCACCAAAAGCAGTGTTCCAGATCGACGAGTTAATATGTCCAATGATCAATTAAATTGAAAGAACACGGAAAAGCAATTGCCAGTTAAATTTATGTGGAAGCACCGTAAAAGTATTATGAGCTTCCATATTACACCCAGCATCAGAAGATATAAAAGTAGAGAAAAGTAATTGAGCATAGTGGAAGCCCGAGTGTAGTGTCCGGTTGATCTTCCTGCATGTTTTACCCATCAATATAATAGCAAAAGTGTTGGTGATTATGCAATAGCTATTAAGTATTAAGCAGCATTGGAAAGCGTTTTCCACGGAAGTGAGTGTGTTCAAGCAATAGATTCACGAAAAGGAAGCACCAGAAGAAGAAGAAGAGTTAGTAGAGTCGTTAAAGCTTATATTTTATCCGTCGACAAAAAGTAATCAAAATTTTAAAACAAGTGAGCTCATCCGAAGAAAAGTGATAACAAAATGCCACTCGGTCGTAAGTCACCACTGGAGGCATTGACCATGCCAGGGGCCATCATCGCTTACAAGTACAGTCAGTATCGGCAGCGCCGTCGGGAAGCAGCAAACCGTCGGGTGACCGAACGAGAACTCACAGCATTGCATAACAAAATTGTAAGTTTTATGTGTTCACTTGTATTTAATTGGAGATGTGACATCGAAGGAATTGCAAATACCGAGATGACAGTAGGTGGCATAATGATATACAACATTCCGCACTGAATGTAGATAAATACTGCAGTAACAGCTTATTCGTCCCGTAACGAGACGAACGATCAACATCCGCTCGGGAACTGGAGCAAATACGTGACTTTTCAGATTGTTCCTGGTAGAAAGTAGGCCCGATGAGGCATACTCAGTACACGACTTATATATATAGTTGCTAACGTGCCAACATTTATTTGGCACTTGTTATTTGACTACCACGGTTTGCGTCCCTTCTCCATGTAGATATTATAGAGCAGTGGGTGGATTGGTGCACTCAAAGATGAAAGTTGCTGCAGAATTAGGAAGTTGCAAACAGAGCAGAACTTTGAAAATCATGTTATCCAGCGAAAAAATGTTAGATTAGATTTTGGGCTAATAAAAGTCAATTCATAATCATACCTGGATTAAAAAAGATGGGACTATGCAATTTTTTCATATATTTGAAAAATAGTTTAATTAACAACAAATTGTTTTCGGAACAATTTATATATATATCCTTAGTAAAAACTTATTTCTCAACACGAAGTTTTTTCAACTTGAAATTTTCCTTTTTTTTCTATTTTGAACTTATAACAAATATAGGTGATGATCATGATGATGGCCCCATCGCTTACCCCTACAAAGGTTTAAGCTGGACAATTTATCTTTAAGATAGTTAAGTATAACATCTTAATCAAATTACTAATTCGAAAGGAACTGGTTACAATAACAAACATAAATTCCCACATTCCCACACTTCTCAGTTGCTTCATAGCTATATAAAAGTGAAAAAGCTTATGCGTTCTCTTCTTTGTTCACCTTTTTGTCCACCTCAAATATTCACAAGTATTCCCAGCGATGAACCCCACATTCTGTTTCTATGACGATCATAGAACTTTTGACAAATTTGGAGACCTTCAAGAAAGTTTACAGATTTTCAAATAAATTTTCAGGATCTAAGGGATGTTACTGGATTTTCACAGAAACTTGCAGAACTTTAGAGAATTTCACCATTTTTTTTTAAATATGTGCAGAATTTCTGGGAACTTCGTAGATCTTCAGATTAATCTTTAAAACTTCAAAGAAGCTTAAATATGTTCAGATAAATTTTTAGAACTTTAGTGAATTTAGAGCAGCTTCAGGGAAATGTGCAGGCCTTCAGGAAAGTCTGAGAGCCTAAGAATTTTTTAGACCTTCAGAGATGTTCGGGGATCTGTTGGAATGTACAGGAATTTGTTGAGTTTCAGGGTAGTTCGTAGATCTTGAGAACAGAACTACAAAACTTCAGAAAATTTCACAGACATTAAAAAAAAATGCAGAAATTTAGAAAAATTTACAAAAGAGATCGTAGATCTTCAGAACAATGTTCAAAGAAATTTTAAAAACCACAAGCAAGCTAAAATATTTTCAGATCAATTTGTAAAAGTTTAAGTGAAATTTTGTAAATCTTCAGGGAAATTCACAGAAATTCAGACAAGTCTAAGAATCTACAGTGGAATGTTGAGAATTTCACAGAAGTTTGTAAATCTACTGAAAAATTATGGAACATCAGAAAAGTTCGTAGATCTTTAGAAAAAAATGCTACAGAACTTTGAAAAAATTCACAGAACTTCAGAAAAAAAAAAATCAAGAATTGGCATATATCTTCAGATCAATTTGGAGACATTCAAGAAAGTGAGCAGATTTTCGGATACATTTTAGAAATATTAGAAATTTTAATGGATCTTGGAGAGATCGAAGTAGGCCGCGCTGCAAAAATGACGTGTTTGCTGCGTCGTTTATGTTCTAGTGAAAATTTACAATTTCATTGTTAAAAAGTGTTAATTGGAAAGTACAGAAGTGATGTTGTAAAGTGCATTAAGTGAAAATTTTAAAATTCCTATCCGTTGCATGTGGTGCCGACTGATCTAACATACGCGTAGCTACGCTCAGCTAAATTTATTCGCCTTTTCGTTCCTCTGTTCTCGATAGGAAATATCCATCTAATTCAAGACGATCATTTTAAAACATACTAAATACGCGTCAATCAAGTATTGCACTACTGCTTGATTGAAAGTTTCAGTACATTATCAATGGTGTATATTTGCATCGATAATATATTGGAGTGGGACTTAACATGTGTGAAAATAGCTTAGGAATGCTTGCGTTTTTGAAATAGGCTATTGTAGCTGCGTTAGAGCTGCCACCTTCTAACTCCCGGGTTCAAGCTTCTTTGCATTCATAAGTATTATTGCAGGCAGATTTTATCCATAATACCACTGCCAGACAGTGAGAGCTAGGCCCAGGACGAATCTTCATTCTAATCTACGATTCCACATACTATTAATAACCTTTTACACATCAGAATGAATTATGCATATGTTTAGGAACAACAAACATTTTCAGGCGCAAAGGAGCAACAGGATCGAGCTGATAACGTTTCTTAATTCCAAAATCTCAAGATTGTTTTCAATAATATGTTTAGGTAATAGGCAGCAACAACGGACAGATAAACTACTTACAGTTTCTATTTATTAGATGCTTGATATAACGATTGCCAGCAACGCCGGGTGGGCGTATCCTATGGCTTACACTCTCTACCAACACAAAAAATTCACCCTTCTCGTGACACTTATGAGGGGTCGTAGAGTTCTCTGCATCTTTCTTAAGTATGTGTCGGACTAACATTCCTCTCCCATCCCCACCAGATGCAAGGACGTGGCCAGGACAGCTCTGGTCTGTTGGAGGGAGACACATCCTTCATCTAAGAGGTAGTAATTAATCACAAATTACTAACTAACAGCAACGGATGAAGATGGGTCTCCTTCTTAACAACAGTTCGGAGCTCGTACCACCTACGACATTGTGCAACCTGGTTTATGCTATGCTATGCTATGCTATGCTATGCTATGCTATGCTATTAGAAATTTTAATGGATCTTCAAAGAAATTTTAAGAACTTCAGGGAAGTTCGGCGATTTTTAAAAAATATTTATACGATTTCAGGCAACTTTGTAGATCTTAATAGCGATATTAAAAACTTCAAGGAAGCTCAAGTATTTTCAGATAAATTTGGAGAACTTTAGGTAATTTAGAAGATCTTCAGGGAAATTTCATATCTCAAGGGTAGCCTGAGAGCATAGAGCGGAATTTACAAAACTTCAGAGATGTTTGCAGGTATACTGAAAAATTGATTGAGCTTCAAGTTTTTTCTTTCGTAGATCTTGAGAATAGAACTACGGAGCTTTAGACAACTTTACAGAATTTTAAAGATATTTGCGAAACTTCAGAAGAGTAGACAATTCAGTTTACATTCAGGAAAGTACTTCAATTACAAAAACAAATCGCAGCGAAGCACGGAAGTCCAAGATTTTGCAGAGCTCCATGGAAGTTGGTAATAGATAGATCTAAAGAAGTTAAGAGAAGTCCGTAGACCTTGAGAAAAGTCTATCGAACTTCAAGAAATTCGTACATTTTTAGAAAAAAATTCAGAACTTCGGCAAAACTCATAGAACTTCGGGAAAGTTCGCCGATCTTTAGAAGTATTTACACAACTTGAGATAAGTTCGTAAATGTTCAGATAAATTTTTAAAACATCAGCGAAGTTCAAATATTTTCAGATAATTTGTAGAGCTTTGGGGAATTTCAAAAAATTTCAGATAACTCTGCAGAACTTAACGGAAATCCAAGAATCCACAAAGAAATTTACAAAGCTTTAGAGAAGTTCGGTAAGATTAGATTAGATTAGATTCGGTTGGATTATTTTACCGAAATCTGTGAAATTTTACCGAAATCTCAACAGCTGAACGTTCGGTAAACAGTTTGGTGATTTTTCACAGATTTCCTGTAATTTTCCTGTAAGATTTCGGTAAAATTTCACAAATTTCGGTAAAATAATCTTAGTGTGTATTGAGAAATTCATTGAACCTCAGGGAAGTTCGTAGATCTTCAGAGCAAAAATACAGTATTTCAGAAAACTTTTCAGAATATTAAAGAAATTTTAGAAACTTAAGAAAAGTTCAGAGGGTAGATCGTAAATCTACTGAAAAATCTGCAGATATTTAAATAAATTTTCAGAATATGATTGCAATTTTTGGATTTTAAGAGACATTTACAAAACTTCAGGAAAGTTCGCTGATCTGTAGAGATATTTGCAAAACTTCAGAAAAATTAGTAGATCTTCAGTGAACTTTCCGGGAAGCTCAAAAATTTCAAGATATACTTTCAATACTTTAGGGAATTGTGTAGATGTTCAGAGATGTTTGCAGGTATTCATTGAAGCATGGAAATTAACAGAGAAAATTACAGAACTTTTGAGAAGTACGTAGATCATTAAACATTTACTAGAGAACAGAAACAAAACTTCAGGGACGTCCGAAGGTCTTCAGACAAATATGCAGAATTGTGTTCTTTCAGAACTTAAGGTGATACTCCAAGGAAACCTTAGCGTTAAACTTCAAGAACACAAATGTCAACTTCCACAGAACGTACAAATATGAAATTGCTACTCCTTAGTTGCAGCGTTACAACAAACAGAGAGTAGCAATTACATTATTGCATGTTTTGTGGAAGCTGACATTTGTGCTTTTGAAGTTTCACCCTAAAGTTTCCTTAGAGTATTACCTTAAGGAATCATGTAGATCAATAGAGAAGTTTTTCCACTGGCTTGTCAAAAGTTAGTATCGACATCCTTACGAAGTTTTGAAATCCTTTTTTATCTTCATATCGCAGTTCTTGAAGGACAAGATGAGCCAGATCGCTGCCGGTGTTTCTCCTGAGCAACTATTTCCTACTCCACAAAGTTCACCTTCTCCTTCTGATTTTATTTTAAATAATAAAAGCAATAAATACTGTACTCGAAAAAAAATGCAACAGTCAAAAATGAACACCAGAAATTAATTTTAAGTAGGATATTTTTGAAACTCTCAGGAAATAAATAAACACATATAA